AGTCAGCAAACCAATATTTGGGTTAGCATCTCTGATTCACAGGTGCTTAAACAAAGTATTATGGTACAGTAGTATTTTCCAATACCACACATATCATATTGCCATTCAACTGGATTTGGAGTTTGTTAAAATAGTTCACTATTAGTGTTATCATGAGAGACCTATTTCAGTATGTATGTTATACCATTGAGGGGAGATGACTTTGTACACAGACCATCATTTAGGTTAGCCTGGTCCCAGATCGGTTACTTTGTGCTGTCGTGCCAATGTTTGGCGTGCCACGTGTCACAATCATACATAGAAGTTGGCAAGGACCAAGGTACAGTACCAGTCAAAAGTTTGGCCACACCTACTCATTCAAGTTTTTTTTTTTTTTTTTTTTACTGTTTTTTTACATTGTAGAATAGTAGTGAAGACATCAAAACTATGAAATAACACATATGGAATCATGTAGTAACCAAAAAGTGTTAAACAAATCAAAATATATTTTAGATTCTAGATTCTTCAAAGTAGCCACCCTTTGCCTTGATGACAACTTTGCACACTCTTGGCATTCTCTCAACCAGCTTCACCTGGAATGCTTTTCCATCAGTCTTGAAGGAGTTCCCACATATGCTGAGCACTTGTTGGCTGCTTTTCCTTCACTCTGCGGTCCAACTCATCCCAAACCATCTCAATTGGGTTGAGCTTGGGTGATTGTGGAGGCCAGGTCATCTGATGCAGCAGTCCATCACTCTCCTTATTGGTCAAATAGCCCTTACACAGCCTGGAGGTGTGTTGGGTCATTGTCCTGTTGAAAAACAAATGATAGTCCCACTAAGCACAAACCAGATGGGATGGCGTATCGCTGCAGAATGCTGTGGTAGCCATGCTGGTTAAGTGTGCCTTGAATTCTAAATAAATCACAGACAGTGTCACCAGCAAAGCACCCCCACACCATCACACCTCCTCCTCCATGCTTAACAGTGGGAACCACACATGCAGAGATCATCCGTTCACCTACTCTACGTCTCACAAAGACACGGCGGTTGGAACCAAAAATCTCACATTTGGACTCATCAGACCAAAGGACAGATTTCCACCGGTCTAATGTCCATTGCTCGTGTTTCTTGGCCTAAGCAGGTCTCTTATTATTATTGGTGTCCTTTAGTAGTGGTTTCTTTGCAGCAATTCAACCATGAAGGCCTGATTCATGCAGTCTCCTCTGAACAGTTGATGTTGAAATGTGTCTGTTACATGAACTCTGTGAAGCATTTATTTGGGCTGCAATTTCTGAGGCTGGTAACTCTAATGAACTTATCCTCTGCAGCAGAGGTAACTCTGGGTCTTCCATTCCTGTGGCGGTCCTTATGAGAGCCAGTTTCATCATAGCATTTGATGGTTTTTGCGACTGCACTTGAAGAGACGTTCAAAGTTCTTGAAATGTTCCGTATTGACTGACCTTCATGTCTTAAAGTAATGATGGACTGTAGTTTCTCTTTGCTTATTTGAGCTGTTCTTGCCATAATATGGACTTGGTATTTTACCAAATAGGGCTATTCTTCTGTATACTCCCCCCCCCCCCCACCCCACCACCTTCTCACAACACAACTGATTGGCTCAAACGCATTAAGGAAAGAAATTCCACAAATTAACTTTTAAGAAGGCACACCTGTTAATTGAAATGCCTTCCAGGTGACTACTTCATGAAGCTGGTTGAGAGAATGCCAAGAGTGTGCAAAGCTGTCATCAAGGCAAAGGGTGGCTACTTTGAAGAATCTCAAATATAAAATATATTTTGATTTGTTTAACACTTTTTTGGTTACTAAATGATTCCATATGTGTTATTTCATCGTTTTGATGTCTTCACTATTATTCTACAATGTAGAAAATAGTAAAAAATGAAGAAAGACCCTTGAATGAGTAGGTGTGTCCATTTGACTGGTAGTGTACATGTAGGTGGAAGAGTAGATCATATAGGGTGAAATACCTGGGTTTCCTTTGTATGTACACGGTGGACAGCCATGTTGGTTGATGCTGTTTTACTGTGTAAACTACTGACCAAGTGCTTTTAAAAGACTATTTGCTTAGCCTTTGTGCCAGTTAGTTTTCGCTATGTTGGCAATAGAGAACAAACAGATTGGCACTCAGGCTATTCTTTACTTATTATAGCCCAGATAATACATCTTATTTAGATATTACTACCCATATACTGTATAAGGCTGGTAGAATGAGTTGTTGTAAGCTGGCTACTTCAGGCAGACAGAATGACAATGCGATTCATAATGCTATGATATGGGAGAGCAATTACATGGGAGAGCTATGATATGGGAGTTTAGTCTATCTGTTGTTTAAATTCTGTAATCTAGTTGGTATATGTTTTTTTTGTTTTGTTACCACGGTGATTCCCCATTCTTCACTAAATGTTCCTAAGTATGTGTTGTATACTGTATGTCCCTAGTTCAGTGTTTTTCAACCCCCCGGTCCATGGACTTGTGCCGGTCCGTGGGATACTGCTGACCTGTCAAACAACACGGATACAGCGAAACCAGAACGTAAGATCGTGAGATCAGGTGGTTCGTACGATGTTAGGTTCCTGGCACCAGGTTGAGAAACACTGACCTGGTCGGGTTGAAAATTGAGTGACAAACATTTGTTTTCTACCGCCCTCTAGTGGCGCTGAAAAAGCTTAAACTCAAAGAACGCTTCATCAGTACCAAATCTCTCATCCCCCCCTCAACTCACTCTCACAAAGCTCATCGGCCTGCCTGCACAGCTCTATGTATTGTCTCAGCACATTCTCCCATTAACCGTTATCCCCACGCAGCAGCTCTGCTCGCTCCTAAAATGGATGCCAAGAGAGCCCTGTGAGGTTCTGGTGAAACGTAGTGCTCTATTTAGGGAATAGGGTTCCAATTGGGAAGCAACCTGTGTGTTCACATCCAGTGTCATTACCAAGAAGTGATTGAGGGCCACTGAATGTTATGTTAAAAAATGATATTTTGACGATTTAAAAGTAGATGAGTCTTTATTTTGTTCTTTATTTTGAAGTAACTGTGGTTTAAAAGCAATATCCTGAAAAAGCTATTTTGTCCAACAATTGTTTTCAAGAATACAGGAACAAATGGAACCCTTAGCTCAACAAGTGCTTAAATGTATATTGGTAATACCTAGAAATGTATTTGATATTCTATTCTGATTGCAATAATTTCTTGTTGGACAAGATGATTTTCTTGACATTTTATACATTGGTTTCGGGTGTTATTTGATTAAAGGGTTACTAGAAAACATGCTTAACCAATCATATTCCTAATAGTTACTATGACTGTCATATTAACGTGTAGTTATTTTTGTATGCCTTTTAACTGACTGAACAATCAGCTGCAACTAAAGTGACCCGTGACGTAGATGGTGAGGTTTGTTAGGGTTCTTTCTGCTTCTATTCAGACGCCTGGAGAAAATAATTCTCACACACAAAGAAATTGCATCAAAATTACTTTTATTAAGAATCAATGAATAATAAATAAATAAAAATATATCGGACCAATATGATAAGTAACATTGACATTCTCTTTAATCTCGTATGATATCAAATTAAATCGTTTCAAAATACAATAAATAATTTAAAAAGAGGTAAACAGGATGTGGATTGTTCAATTCAACAGCACTGAGTTTGTAAAGATGACATATAGAGAGTAACACCTTGTATGAATTGCAGTATAAAAATAAAAACTACATGTTTTACTTTCACATACACCGGATAGGTGGCAGTGAAATGTGTTGTTTTACAGGGTTAGTCATAGTAGCATGGCGCACCTGGAACAAATGAGTGTTAAATGCCTTGCTCAAGGGCACATCGACAGATTCTTCACCTCGTCACCTCAGGTATTCAAACCAGCAACCATTCGGTCACCGGCCCAATGCTCTAACCACTAGGCTACCTGCCGCCCTACTTGCAGTATTTCATTACGTCCAGTACTTACAGTCTGAGGTCTATGACAGTGTCTTGGACGGTCCAGGGCCAGTGTGTTCTCTAGAAGAGATACTCTATAGGGAACAAACAGAGAATAGAATAGAATATATACTTTTTATTGTCCATTTTGTGAGAAACAAAAATTAATCTTCTGCCATTCACATCCCTCCCAGTCACACACGTAGAGAGGCACAGGGTCAGCCACGATGCAGCGCCTTGCACATGGGCACAACGGCAGATGGTCTGGGGTCTTTACCTGCAGCCTTTTTTTTTTTCAGTTCCTAATTTTTATCATCCTACCCAAGATTTGAACCGGCAACCCTCCATCTGCCTTATACACAATGAATTTTCATCCGGAACTTACCGTCTCAGCCTTGGGGCAATCTGTTGTCACATCTGTTTTGATCTAAAACTGGTAGCACTGTCAGACACTAGTGAGTAATAATAGAGTGTCATAAAACCTGGTGCTTATCTGCAAGTGTAATGTTCAACTAGAGTAGTTTGATTGAGCCTGCCCGGAGTATCAGGTGTAATGTTCAACTATAGTAGTTTGATTGAGCCTGCCCGGAGTATCAGGTGGGTGGGGGACTATTCCATTGGTTCCATTGCGACAGGCTAAATAAAGTGCACCTAAAGTATTACATAATAGGATCTCCTTTCAGCCACAGAGTACTACACAACACCTTTAGCAGTCTCCAACACAGTTATGTACAGGGGTACTACACACGTTACTGTAGCAGGTGGACTCAACATCTGTTTGCAGTGTACTCAACACAGTACTGTTAGCGTGTACACACACAGTTATGTTAGCAGTGTACTCAAACAGTTATTTTAGCAGTGTACTACAAACAGTTTGTAGCAGGTGGTATCAACACAGATTAGTGTTGCAGGTGTACCACACCAGTACTGTTAGCAGGTGTACTCAACACAGTTAGTTAGCAGGTGTACTCAACACAGTTACGTTAGCAGGTGGACTAACACAGTTACTGTTAGCAGGTGGTACTACAAAACAGTGTACGTTAGAGGTGGTACTCAACACAGTTACTGTTAAAAGAGTGACTACAACACAGTTACTGTTAGCAGGTGGTACTCCAACACAGTTACTGTTAGCAGGTGGTACTACAACACAGTTACTGTTAGCAGGTGGTACTCCAACACAGTTACTGTTAGCAGGTGGTACTACAACACCAGTTACTGTTAGCAGGTGGTACTACAACACAGTTACTGTTAGCAGGTGGTACTACAACACAGTTACTGTTAGCGGGTGGTACTACAACACACAGTTACTGTTAGCAGGTGGTACTCCAACACAGTTACTGTTAGCAGGTGGTACTACAACACACAGTTACTGTTAGCAGGTGGTACTCCAACACAGTTACTGTTAGCAGGTGGTACTCCAACACACTTACTGTTAGCAGGTGGTACTCAACACAGTTACTGTTAGCAGGTGGTACTCCAACACAGTTACTGTTAGCAGGTGGTACTCCAACACAGTTACTGTTAGCAGGTGGTACTCCAACACAGTTACTGTTAGCAGGTGGTACTACAACACAGTTACTGTTAGCAGGTGGTACTACAACACAGTTACTGTTAGCAGGTGGTACTACAACACAGTTACTGTTAGCAGGTGGTACTCCAACACAGTTACTGTTAGCAGGTGGTACTACAACACACAGTTACTGTTAGCAGGTGGTACTCCAACACAGTTACTGTTAGCAGGTGGTACTACAACACAGTTACTGTTAGCAGGTGGTACTACAACACAGTTACTGTTAGCAGGTGGTACTACAACACACAGTTACTGTTAGCGGGTGGTACTCCAACACAGTTACTGTTAGCAGGTGGTACTACAACACAGTTACTGTTAGCAGGTGGTACTACAACACAGTTACTGTTAGCAGGTGGTACACAACCACAGTTACTGTTAGCGGTGGTACTCCACACACAGTTACTGTTAGCAGGTGGTACTCCAACACAGTTACTGTTAGCAGGTGGTACTACAACACAGTTACTGTTAGCAGGTGGTACTCAACACAGTTACTGTTAGCAGGTGGTACTCCAACACAGTTACTGTTAGCAGGTGGTACTCCAACACAGTTACTGTTAGCAGGTGGTACTACAACACAGTTACTGTTAGCAGGTGGTACTCCAACACAGTTACTGTTAGCAGGTGGTACTCCAACACAGTTACTGTTAGCAGGTGGTACTCCAACACAGTTACTGTTAGCAGGTGGTACTACAACACAGTTACTGTTAGCAGGTGGTACTCCAACACAGTTACTGTTAGCAGGTGGTACTACAACACAGTTACTGTTAGCAGGTGGTACTCCAACACAGTTACTGTTAGCAGGTGGTACTCCAACACAGTTACTGTTAGCAGGTGGTACTCCAACACAGTTACTGTTAGCAGGTGGTACTCCAACACAGTTACTGTTAGCAGGTGGTACTACAACACAGTTACTGTTAGCAGGTGGTACATCCAACACAGTTACTGTTAGCAGGTGGTACTACAACACAGTTACTGTTAGCAGGTGGTACTACAACACAGTTACTGTTAGCAGGTGGTACTACAACACAGTTACTGTTAGCAGGTGGTACTACAACACACAGTTACTGTTAGCAGGTGGTACTCCAACACAGTTAGTGTTAGCAGGTGGTACTCCAACACAGTTACTGTTAGCAGGTGGTACTACAACACACAGTTACTGTTAGCGGGTGGTACTCCAACACAGTTACTGTTAGCGGTGGTACTCAACACAGTTACTGTTAGCGGTGGTACTACAACACAGTTACTGTTAGCAGGTGGTACTCCAACACAGTTACTGTTAGCAGGTGGTACTACCAACACAGTTACTGTTAGCAGGTGGTACTCCAAACACAGTTACTGTTAGCAGGTGGTACTCCAACACAGTTACTGTTAGCAGGTGGTACTCCAACACAGTTACTGTTAGCAGGTGGTACTACAACACAGTTACTGTTAGCAGGTGGTACTCCAACACAGTTACTGTTAGCAGGTGGTACTCCAACACAGTTACTTTAGCAGGTGGTACTCAACCATTTGTGCAGTGTACTCCAACACAGTTACTGTTAGCAGGTGGTACTCCAACACAGTTACTGTTAGCAGGTGGTACTCCAACACAGTTACTGTTAGCAGGTGGTACTACAACACAGTACGTAGCAGGGGTTACTCACACAGTTACTGTTAGCAGGTGGTACTCCAACACACAGTTACTGTTAGCAGGTGGTACTCAAACACAGTTAATGTTAGCGGTGGTACTCCAACACAGTTATGTTAGCGGTGGTACTACAACACAGTTACTGTTAGCAGGTGGTACTACAACACCATTTACTGTTAGCAGGTGGTACTCCAACACAGTTACTGTTAGCAGGTGGTACTCAACACAGTTACTGTTAGCAGGTGGTACTACAACACAGTTACTGTTAGCGGTGGTACTCCAACACAGTTACTGTTAGCAGGTGGTACTCCAACACAGTTACTATTAGCAGGTGGTACCCAACACAGTTACTGTTAGCAGGTGGTACTCCAACACAGTTACTGTTAGCAGGTGGTACTCCAACACAGTTACTGTTAGCAGGTGGTACTCCAACACAGTTACTGTTAGCAGGTGGTACTACAACACAGTTACTGTTAGCAGGTGGTACTCCAACACAGTTACTGTTAGCAGGTGGTACTCCAACACACAGTTACTGTTAGCAGGTGGTACTCCAACACAGTTAATGTTAGCGGGTGGTACTCCAACACAGTTACTGTTAGCGGGTGGTACTACAACACAGTTACTGTTAGCGGGTGGTACTACAACACATTTACTGTTAGCGGGTGGTACTACAACACACAGTTACTGTTAGCAGGTGGTACTACAACACATAGTTACTTACGGAGACAGGTCACATGGTGCTGCTTGGATACGCTGGACATGGTGCTGCTTGGAAACGCTGGACATGGTGCTGCTTGGAAACGCTGGACATGTTTGGTGGCATTTAAAAATCAATATCAAGAGACTGTAACCACTTAGTCACTTCATAAGTGTTTATATTCATGACAGTGTATAATTGGTGAATAGACCCAGTGCTTCCTAACACTACTGTAGACCTATGGCTGTAATGTAACAAGTAGTAATATAATAACGTGTTAGTGAATCGATTACAGCCAAGGGAGGTGGAAAATCATGTTCGGTTGTATTTTCAGTGGCCTGCCAGACTAGACTGAATGGACTGTAGGTGCTAGTTAAAACGAGAGGAACCCCTTACGTGGTACCATACTTACTGTAACATAATATTGGTAATATACGTACCTCTGCTTCTTCCAGACTTACAATAAAGGCCAGGCAGCAGCCTCCCCTCTCCTTACTCCCCAACAGGGAGTGACAGCAAGAAGCTGCCTCTCTCCATGCCATCAGTGTGGTGTAGTGTCTCCCTACAGCACTGCAGTACTGATGGCGTCACCTTTTGTCCTGCAGTTTGTTCATGATCCTCTAGAGGGCAGCATTTCTCCAGTGGCGTTTTCTTTTTTCAGCACCAAGGGCAGAGCGGGATTTAAACTCTGCTATCGCTGCACTTGTACTGAGGGGAGGCCGTGATGCACTCGTACTGGGAGGAGCTACAAGGGATAAATATAATGAAGTATTTATTCATTGGATAAGAGGACTTTAAAACAAAGGGGCCTTTTGGTTGAACTGTCACAAAATAAAAAATAAATAAAAAAACCAATATGGATCCTTTCACGATGTGGAAATGCTGAGTCAAATTGAGTTTCAAATTGCTCACTTGACCTTTTCTGCTTAAGTTCCCTTGTTCACGTGAAATGTGAGGTAGATGATGTTGGATGTTGTTCTGCGGTTGTCATGGGAAACCGTAGCATAACAAACATATTCCTGATCCTTTCTTTCAGGAAAAGATTCAATCAATAAACCGCAGCAACAATATTCCTATTCATGACAAGGGGTAATCCTCCATCCATTCACTGCATACATGGAGTCAAATCATAAACTGAAGAAATCTAAATTAGGATGGCAACAAATAATCATTATTCTGGGAGAACTGGGAGACGTTGAAAGGTCACAGGTCAAGGTGACTCCCTCAGCAGTGCAACAGATTGTAGTGGTACTGTAGAGCTGCTATGTGAGTTAACAAAAACTGCACCCAAAGAGGTGCATCATTGGTGGCGGCCGGTGACAGGACTCTCCCTCTGCTTGTGTAGGGAACCGTGGACAAGGCACAGCCCAAACGGACAGACACACCCCAGGCTGTGGTCAACTCAAAACAGACCAGCCTTGCAAATCCAGCCTGTAAAGACTCAAACCTTGTAGAGGACAATCAAATGAAAGGGGCTGTTACTGTATTCCAGTGCTGTTCTCCCACATACTGCACTAGTGTGTCAGCCTGCCACTGTTCCACAGCAGAGCGGCAGGACACGGGCTGGCGGCTGAAAACAAGCAGGGTAGGCTCCTCCATGGATTCTGTGATTCCTGCCCCACTGTGTACTGTGTTCACCTGGTAGGGCAGTAGGATTAACCCTGGGGGGCCCAGCCTTGGAGGGGCAAAATGTAGTGGGGTCAAAAGGTATGCTATTAAATCAGCAACAACTCCTGAACAGCTTGTGTTAGCTAAACAGATCATCAACCGCTCCTGAAAGGTGTGTGTGTGTGTGTGTGTGTGTGTGAGAAAACACACACACAGGCGATCATCAGCGAACAAATGCAGAGGTCTCTCCTAGTCTCTAACAATCAGCAAAGAGGGGTTTGGGTCTCTTCTCTTGTGCAACAATTCAAAGTGATAAACAATTCCTGTTTGGAAACACAACAGATGGGGTGGTCAGAGCAGTTCCCTCTGTTCAATTCATATCCAGGGCAGAAACAGGTTTCCCTCAAATGAAACAATTTATTTATATTCGGAGGACAAATAAGTGCGTAAATGCACTTTTTCTCTGAGTGTGTTAAACATCTTGGCAGTAAGATGAGTGTGGGAAGAGGATTTTCCTTTTCTTGTCTTCCAAATGAAATCAGGTACACAGCACAAAGCGAGAGGGTCATATTATTCCACTTAAAACACAACACAAACGACACACAACTTAAAAGCTGCCTTCTCAGTGAAAACGTTTAAATACCAAGTAGTTTTCTTCTCTTCAGTTTCCTGTGAGGTTTGAGCCATAGAAAGTCCACAGTTGAAGCGGTGAACTTTGAGACAAATACATATTTTTTCTCAGTTTTTCAACAGATAAACCAAACCAACCTCATCTTAAAACTACAGTTTAGTTTTTTTTTTAAGAAACAGCCATATAATGGTACCAACAGTAGGCTATAAATATAGGTCTTAAAAATCAAACCGTTGACTGCTGGCTGACAGGGGAAAACATTGTGGTTAAAATATACAAAAAAATTATAGCACTACAACTTATCAAACTTACAATTCCCCCCCCCAAAAAAAACTAAATGATCAGTTTATATGTTGAATACCTTTTTACTTATTGATTATTAGGATTACTGTAAATCATTTGTTAGCAATTACCATTAAAATGTTGTCATATTCAGACAAACATTGGCATATTGATTGAATGAAACCGGACCAACTTATCACACATTATAGGTCAAAGGTTATAGGTCACAAGTTACTACTAAGGGTCAAGTGGTGCTAAAGACAATGTACACAATAAAATCTACCCTTAGCATCTCTTTTAGTGGGCTATTTGTTTGTTGCGTCATTGCATTGATGAACCCATCTATATTAGCTGGGCAAAAATCACTTCTATATTCCTCATTCAGCCTCTCAATATGCCGAAATATTACTGGTTAGTCACTTAAACATTAAAAGACATTTGGAAACCGATTGAACACACTGTACTTAAGCTACACCACAGCCAAGTTAGGTTGCGTTTACACTCAGCAACTAAAACCCATGTACACGTGTTTCAACCTCCTTTACATTTTTGTCTCAACACATTTTGTAGTGTTCATTAACCATCCCTTGGCCATACAGGGCTAAACACCAGGTGTAACCTAACCAGTTATACAGGGTAAAACACCAGGTGTAACCTAACCAGTTATACAGGGCTAAACACCAGGTGTAACCTAACCAGTTATACAGGGTAAAACACCAGGTGTAACCTAACCAGTTATACAGGGCTAAACACCAGGTGTAACCTAACCAGTTATACAGGGTAAAACACCAGGTGTAACCTAACCAGTTATACAGGGTAAAACACCAGGTGTAACCTAACACCAGATAGCCTACTGTGCATGGGGACGTTCAGATTTCTAGGTTTAGAACATTTTCATGTATTAGAGAAAGACAGTAAGTCCATTTGATCAATATGAAAGACAGTCAAGTAAAGACATATCCCAACATTAAATGTCCCCAATCATTTTGATGAGAAACAAATGGAATGATTTATATCCTCACCATAGCAGTCAAACAGGGCCTGATGGTATCTTTCTCAAAATGTGACATTTAGAATAAAGAAATGGTTGGTGAACAAAGGGTTCTGAGGTTAATATTTAGCAAAAAAATATATAATTAACTTTAAATGACACCAACTGATTGTAATAAGCATTAAGTAGTATAACTTATATATAATACGACCAAATGTTGGGAGTGGAGTTTTAACTTCTCACATACAGTGGTTGGTTCAAGTTTTCCTAAAAGAAAAAGGGTCCTATTTTACCTCATTTTAAATTACAGTAGATTTTTTATTTTTATTCATAGAATGTCCCCCCCCCCCCCTTTTATAATACTCCGGCTGAATCGTTTCTGCATATGTTGGCTAGAAATTATCACACCCTTTATATAAAACAGGGTTCCAAAATTACAAATTTGTTGACTTTCAAGGTGGCCATTTTATATTTATTTTGGTGGAACAAATAGTGACATAGCCTATTCACGCCCGCCCAAAATCATACCACTACTCTCTAGCATTACCCAATGGGGCAGAACTCCACCTACAGCATGCAATAGTAGTTACTGACATATATATTTTTTCTTTTTTACAATATCATTGATGTTTTGCTTCCTCCTCCCCCTCTCTGATTGTAGTTATGATGGCCCCCGCACCACGACCATCACCAGATAGTCCTCGTCCGTTTTGGCCAGAGCTTTAGCCGAGGCATCAACGAACTGCTGGGAGAACTCACAGGGAGGGAACGCGTGGAGAACACCCTGGTGGTCCTTATCCCGGCTGCCTCCAACCGGCAGGCTGATGACTCCGGCTGCCTGCTTCTGTTTCAGGTAGGACACCAGGTTTCGGAGAGGACGCTGTGTCGAAGCTGCCGGGTCCATCGACGACACCTCCTCGCCGCCGGAACCGGGAACCGCCAGGAGGACGGCGTAGCCGCCGGGGCCGGCCGCTTTGATGCGTCTGGAGACCTCGTCGAGCTTGGGTTGGTCGAGGCGGAGACGCTGGGTGATCTTGAGCTCCCCCACCTGTCTCCCCGTGGGGCCGTCGACGAGGAGGTCCTTGGCCACGCCTTGGTGGCCCTCCAGGAGGTGCATGTTGGCTGGGAAGTTGCTGTTCTTCAGGAGGAGCATTCCGTGCCAGGCCAGGCTCAGCTTGGATGACTGACTGCCTTTAGAGCCGCCCTGGTCTGAGGAGCGATCCCTCTTAGCTCCAGGTCCTTTGCTGCTGCTGTCGCCGGCTTTACGTTTCCGCTCCCCTGCTGAAGATGAGAGGCCACTGCTGG